TATAAGAGTATATATGAGTATATAGTGACACAATAGATGACAGCCTAGGAAACCCTGTGGGGCAGTTCTCCTCCGTTACACCAGGGGGCGCTGTGAGTAGATGATCTATAAGAGTATATATGAGTATATAGTGACACAATAGATGATAGCCTAGGAAACCCTGTGGGCAGTTCTACTCTGTCCCATGGGGACGCTGTGAGTCAGAATGGAATCTTCTCAAGGGCAGTGGGGTGCCATCTCCAGAGTGGGTGTTGGTTTTTCTTTTCCCTTGGGTGACTGGGGTAACTTGGAAATGCCCTGAGCCCGCCTTCACACTATGGGAATGGTTTTCAGAAAGGGGGCCATGGTGCTGTCTTTGTTTCTGGATTTGCAAGCTTGGTGGTGGTGGTGGTGGTGGTGGTGGTGGTGGATGTGCTGGAGGTGGAGGTGGCAGAGGTGGTGGCGGAGGTGGTGGTGGTGGTGGAGGTGGTGGAGGTGGTGGTGAACTGCCCTCAAGTTGGTTCCGACTCGTAGCCATCCTATACAAGGTTTCCGAGGCTATGAATCTTCACAGGAGCAGAAAGCCTCATCTTTCTCCCACGGAGCAGCTGCGGGGCTTGAACTGTGGAGCTGTGGTTCACAGTCCAGTGCTTATTGTAGGGAGCCATCACGCCTCTCAGACTTGGCAGATTTTTCTAATAGTGAAGTCTTTCTCTACTGGGACACGGTCTCCAAGGTTGTTGATTACATGGGGGGTGGGAGGCTTCAAAATGTTCATGGAGGAATTCCATTGTATTTTCGTTTCATGTTTCCACAAACTTTTGAAGTCCACTCATCTAATATCAAGGCAATGTGGGCATGGGTCTGTGAAGGTACCCTAGAAATGGCATTATTATTGTTCGGTTGGCTGTGCAAACTATCACTTGAACACAAGCAGGTAGACCAGAAGGCCACATTGCTTTGTGCCAATGAAATCAAGACTGAATTTTTGTCCAAATGTAAATTTCAACAGTCCCAACTGCATTTCTGAGACCTTGATCCCATTCAATTAGGTAATCTGGGTCAATGTAAGCCACCCAATTTCTCCTAATGGCAGCCTGCATCAGCCAGACCAGGTGTGGCTGGTCTCTGGGGCTCTCCTGATGGAAATGTGTGTCCTGGTTAATGAACGACATCTTCCTCTCTACTGTTCCAACGGGAGAACAAAGTGCTGTATAGCCAGAATGAGACGGCCTTCTCCCAGCTAATAAGACTCTTCCCATCTGGAGGGAAGCAGACATGGCTTTCTGCCGAGCTTGCAGATTACTGCCAGGATGACACTTCTGACCAAACTAAATTATTGTAAACCCTCCAGGAGGAAGTCGTGTAATTTACCTTCCCTACTGTCTGAGAGTCTTCTCACGGAGTCTCTGCTCTGGTGGTCCTGAGAACACAGCACTGACCTCTTCCTGCTGCACCCTCTCCGTGGAAAGCCCCTTCCCCAAACCTAGACTCTAGTTCCACAGTGGGACAGAGAGTGACAGGGAGAGCAGGAGTCACACTGAGTGACAAGATGCCAGAATGGACACACTCTGTGAACAAAGACCCAGATTTGATCAGGAGCCAGTAAAGTGGGGCATGGCCATGCCTGTGGGTGTGTGTGTCTGAGTATTGTGTGTTGTGAGTGTGAGAGAGAGAGAGTTGTGTATTGTGACATTGTGAGTGTGTCAGTGTCAGTGTGAGTTACAATGTGTGTGAGTGTCTGTCTGAGAATGTGGTATGTGTGTATCCATGCTGAGTGAGTGTGTTATAGTGTGAGTGTGAGTTAGAGTGTGTGGGTGGTATTTGTGCTCTTTCCTTTGCCCCTGATTTCTTCCTGTCCTACCTTTATATCCTCCCTTTTCCCCATTCTCTTCCTCATTGTCTCTATTCCGGAGGACACATCACCTTCACTGGGCTGAAAGCTGCTGCATACGGGAGCCACTCTGTACCAAAACCACTGGGCTTTAGGTGACAAGAGTCTTTCAAAAGAAAGACCTACTGAACAATTTCCTGTCTTCTTTCCAGAATTGATGTCTACCCACGAGCTTGAAAAGAAAGAATTGGAAGAAAATTTTGAAAAACTGCGGCTGTCATTACAGGTTAGTATTTCCTTAGCTCTGATACCCACATAGCAGCAGCTCTGTTCCCACCTAGGAACATGGGGTCTGCATTAAGCACTACAATCTAAGAGACCCTGGCCCCAAGGAGTTGCTTTCATCCCAACAGAAGCATCAACCACGAAAGGTACCACATTACTGTACCCAGTGAAGAACACCGTTAGGGAGCTAGGAGTGTTCAAAGGAGCCCTGCTGGTACAGTGGGTTAGGCAGTGGGCTGCTACCCACAAATTCAGTGGTTCAAACTCACTAGCTACTCTGAAGAAGGAGATCAAGTGGACTGGGCAGCAGTGGGCCAAGGTGTTCAGAGACGGTCAGAACCAGCTGAGGAGTCAGCGAACCGCGTTGGAAGAGGGCTGGAGCTGGGAAGGAAAGGGCAGGTTCCAGGCAAAGGAAATGGTGTAGGAGAGGTGGGCAGTCAGAATCCACAGGCCACAGACTGGGAATTCTACGGGAATTAGAAATGAGAGTTTGGAGGTGTCTTCTGAGCTGAGGGGAAGGTGGGGCTGAGGTGCCTACCATGACTGCCCGATGCCAACAACAGAAGACCCAGGGTGCCCCCCAGCTTGCAGGTATATTCCTCCTCCTGCTTTCCAGAGGCCCAGGCCAGCTGCTTGTGTGGAAGACATTGATCACCCCCAAGCTGATGGAGGTACACACAATTTGTGCTTAACTCCTAACATGAAGGTTGGGCGGTTTGAATTCACCCAATAACACGACAGATGAAAGACCTAGAGATCAACTGCTCAACAGATGACAACCAAGAAAGGTCTCAAGGGCATTTCTGCTCTGTCACATGGCTTCACATCGACTGTGAATCCACTCAGTAGTGTTGGGTTTTGTTTGGGTTAGTCCCTGAGGAGTCATTTCCTGGGGTTCTTGTGGCAGGTCTGTGTCAAAGGATAAAAATCACAGTACCAGCAGAATTCTTGTGATAAACATTAGGGTTATGCTGGACATTGTACCGTGTTTTTGTGTGGCACAGTTGAGTCAACTCCAACTTATAATGACATCATGTGACAGAGGAGAACTGCCCCACAGGGTTTCCTAGGCTGTCATCTATTGTGTCACTATATACTCGTATATACTCTTATAGATCATCCACTCACAGCGCCCCCTGGTGTAACAGAGGAGAACTGCCCACAGGGTTTCCTAGGCTGTCATCTATTGTGTCACTGTATACTCATATATACTCTTATAGCTCATCCACTCACATCGCCCCCTGGTGTAACAGAGGAGAACTGCCCATAGGGTTTCCTAGGCTGTCATCTACTGTGTCACTATATACTCATATATACTCTTATACATCATCCACTCACAGCGCCCCTTGGTGTAACAGAGTAGAACTGCCCACAGGGTTTCCTAGGCTGTCATCTATTGTGTCACTACATACTCATATATACTCTTATAGATCACCCACTCACAGCGCCCCCTGGTGTAACAGAGGAGAACTGCCCCACAGGGTTTCCTAGGCTGTCATCTATTGTCACTATATACGCATATATACTCTTATAGATCATCCACTCACAGTGCCCCCTGGTGTGACAGAGGAGAACTGTCCCAGAGGGTTTCCTAGGCTGTCATCTATTGTGTCACTATATACTCATATATACTCTTATACATCATCCACTCACAGCGTCCCCTGGTATAACGGAGGAGAACTGCCCCACAGGGTTTCCTAGGCTGTCAGCTTTACAGGAGCAGATGATCATTAGGGGAAGTCCTGGCATTCTCAGGTAGAATAGAAACTAGTAATGGAACATCCATCATCATCACCCTCATCATCTTCGTGGGGCCATTGGCTGACACCTGAGCAGCAGCCAGCTGGGTCTTCATGCATCTTGTCATGACCTTAAGGCGCCAACTGTCAAGCGAGAGCCTCAGTGTCTCCTATTAGCAATAGACAGCAGCACCTCTGTCCCCTCAGGTCTGTTTGGGGACATAGAGTATTCAAGTGAACACGGCAGAAAAATCACAGTCTGATCGTTCTGATCCGTCCTAGGAGTTTGTGGCTGTGTTTCGGCTTTCCACAGAGGGTAGATAGAAATCCTTCCCTGGGCAACGCTGAAGAGTTGTGTAGAAGCCACATAGAGCTACGAGGGGGCTTCAAGAAGCTTATGGGAAAATCCCACTGTCTTTTCTTCCATTTTTCCAGGAGCTTTTTCTTTTGAAGCTCCCTTGTACAATTGGTTTCATCATTCCACTCTTGGAGGTGACCTTGCTGTGGATGTGTGAGATGGGGAACCCAGCAATGGTCACCTGGGGCCACAGTTAACACTCATGGGAATAACTGGGTAGGTGAGAGGGAGGGAGAGCAGCAAACCAGCTCACGGAGGTTTGCCAATTAGCATCTTCTATCCTGATGAAGACCAGCAGAGCCCACCCATCACACCTGGTATACACACTGCACCTGGAGGGCAAAAACATTGAAAATTCACAGCTGTTGTCCAGTTGACGCCAATAGCGACCCTGTGTGTCTCAGAGTGGAACTTTGCTCTGCAGCATTTTCAGTGACTGGTTTTTTTGGACTTCATATGCCAGGACTTTCTTCCGTGGTGCCTTCAGGAGGACTTGGAACCTTTCAGTTACCAGTGTAGTGCCTTAACCTTCGCACCACCCACATCACTTGGAGGGCAGTAGGGTATTTAGAGCACAGTTATAAGGCAGATGTCAAGTCTAGGGAGGAGAGAGTGGGTGTCAGGGCTGAGGTAGAGGGAGTGCGTGTCAGGGCTGAGGTACAGGGAGTGGGTACTGAGGAAGGTTAGTGGATATGAGGGATACTCAGACCTGCTTCAGTCAAGTCCATTCTGACTCCTGGTGACTAGAGGACACAGGTGAACTGCTCCCTGGGGTTTCCAAGACTGTAAATCTTTAAGGAAGCAGACAACCTCATCTTTGTCCTTCAAAGTGGGTGGTGGACTTGAACACCCAACCTCGTGGTTGCTCAACCCACTGTGCCACCAGGGCACCTTTGAGTCAAAAGGTTGAAGGTACCCATAGGTACCTTAGAAAAAAGGCCAGGTGGTCTATGAGAAACTCAGCCAGCCATTGAAAATATTGACCAAACTCAAAATCATTAAAAAACAAACAAACAAAACACAGGTTCTTTGGTCAGATAGAGACTGGGGGAACCATGGAGACAGTGGCCCTAGTCTCCCATCAGGTCTGAAACGGAACTCTCCCCGTGGCTCAACTTTCACCCAAACAGACAGGTCTGTGAGAGGAACAATAACACTAGGAGGGTACGTACTCCTTTACGTTATCCACTGTTTGAGAACCAAAGGGCAGCATTTACCCAGGGTCAAAGTTCACACAGGCTATAAAGAAGGCATGGGAACAGGAAACCCAGGGAGGAAGTGGGTTACACGGTGAGGACTGCAATCAATGAGATGAAACAATGTGTGTGGATTGTTGAAAGGAAAACTGATCTAAGTCTGTAAATATTCCCTAGGTTCCCAGTCAATTAAAAACAAAAACAAAAACAAAACCCAGCCACTGAAAACCCCGTGGAGCGCAGGTCTATTCTGGCACACGTGGGGACACCATGAGTTGGAACCAGCTGGACAGTCACTGATTTTATAGACAAAGCGCCAAGGGAGTGGTCAGGAAGAGGACATCAGGGTGGTTCTGCCTTCCACATTCAGTGCCTGGGAAACACCCAGAGCTCGTCTTCGTTCCTCCCTTGAGAGGAGAAATCAGAGCGCAGCAAGACAGGGTGACTGTCCCTTCACCAACTCCCCAGGCTGCGGGCTGGCAGGGACCAAGCTGGATGTGTCATGTGACTGTTTGCAGGACCAGGTGGACACGCTGACCTTCCAGAGCCAATCTCTGCGGGACAGAGCCCAGCGGTTCGAGGAGGCTTTGAGGAAAAACACAGAAGAGCAGCTGGAGGTAGGAGACTTACCAGAGCTCCCGGCGCTGGTGGGTCACCTGTGTGTGACCTCATTCCATCAGAGCCATGTGGCTTCTCCACAGAGTCCCCCAGAGAGAAGGGACCCCACACTGTCACCCTGAGTGAGGGGTGGTGGTTACACACTTCCTCTCAGCTCATCTCCACTGAAGCCAAGTTAGCTGTGGGTTTCTCCAGCTACAGGGTCTTCTGACCAAATCCCACACCTCCCCAGCCTGCACAGCCACCCTTGGTGATGAGCTGGTTATGAACATGGCTGCTCCTATGCTAACTGATAGGTTAGTGGTTCGATCCCACCCAGATCTGCTCCTGAAAATGACTAGGGCTTTGGAAACCCTATGGGGCAGTTGTACTCGGTGTCATGGGGTCGGTGTGGATCAGAATTGACTCGATGACACCCAACAACAAGAGCTTTAGCTCATGTCCTTGAGCTTCTGTGATCAACACACCCCGGGGTCTCTCCACTCCCACCCCGCTGCCCCATTCTTTCCCACAGCTCCAGAAGGGTGAGGTGCTAGCTGAAACATTCAGTGTGTAGGTTAAGGGGAAGTTTTTCCCAAAGAAGTTGGCAAAACTCCTTCCCTCTAACATGGAATTGCCAGAGAAAATACATGACACCCAGGCAAGTGTACATGAGAAGTGAATGAACTTCTTAGTGTAAGTATATCTGTGTATTCTTATGCTGAATCGACAGATGGATGGAGATTAGGTAGGTAGAAGATAGATCGATCAATCGATCGATCGATAGATAGATAGATAGTTGGATTGATATATAGAGAGATGATAGAGAGGGTTGTTGTTAAGTACCATCGAGTCATTTCTGACCCATAGAGACCCTGTACGGGGTTTCCAAGGAGCAACTGGTGAGCTTGAACCACTGACCTTGCAGTTCAAACGACTTTGCAGTCTGATGCATTAACCCACTGCACCACGCCAGATAGATAGATAGATAGATAGCTAGATAGCTAGATAGCTAGCTAGCTAGCTAGCTAGATAGATAGATAGATAGATAGATAGATAGACAGACAGACAGATAGATAATAGATGGATGGACGGATGGATAGATAGACGAATGAGATAAATGCTCCATAGAGAGAGATGATAGGTAGATGGAAGGATGGATGGCTATAATAGATAGCTCCCTCATTGTCTTGAGATGTAGTGACCCATGGAGCTGGCTAGCACTGGGAAGGACCCCCTGGTCAGCGAGTCCTGCTCTCCCCCTGTAGGTTGCCTTGGCTCCCTACCAGCACTTGGAAGAGGACATGCAGAGTCTGAAGCAGGTGTTAGACATGAAGAACCAGCAAATTCATCAGCAGGAGAAGCACATCGTCGAGCTGGAGAAGCTGGTGAGTGGGGACTCCAGGGCTCGCCTGCTGGTCTCCATCCCTAAACCCAAATCACACCCACTGGGGTCCAGTCCACACCGCCCAGGGCCTGCTGCTGAACTGGGGCTTTGGGTAGGGAGTTCAGAAGTGGCTTCATTTAACACAACTCTGGAATCCCTCTGATGGTGGGCTTCCTGCCCCAGAACACTGTGTCCTGTCCTTCCCACATCTTGTTCCTTTCCTATGGAAGCTCTGTCCCCTCTTCCCTACCCCTGGAAGTCTGGCAGGCCAACGTGGACCAAGTGTGGCAAAAAGTGGGCATCAGCCCTTTGAATTCTGACAGCAATCCTAACCCTAAAACCAAACCCAAGGCCGACCCGTAGCGATCCTAGAGCACGGCGCAGAACTGTTGGTTCCCTTTCAGAAGCAGTTTTGCTCCTGGGGAGCGGTGGAGTTGAACCAAGGGTCTCAGACAACTGGTTTTCTTTTCTTCCCTTTATTTTTTATTTCCCTAACTGTAAGTTTTCAAATTAACTTAGAAAATTATAAGATCAACAAAAATAAGGGAGTTAAAGTTAACCAAAATCAGAGAATAAAAATATCGTATTTCCACCTCTCACTATTAACACTTTTTTTTTTTCTCTGTTCTTATAATTTTATTCTGTTCTTGACTCTTTCATTTGTCGACTGAGTTCAGGTTGATGCTGCCATGTACGTCGTTCTGTATTTGTTATGCGTTCTTGTTGGTTCTCAGTCCACAGAACTTCCTTTAGGATGTTTTTCATAGCAGGGTTGGCTTTGGCAAAATCCCTTAGCTTCTGCCTATCCTGGAATGTTTTGATTGCACCATCATATTTGATTGACAGCTTTGCTGGGTAGAGGATTCTTGGGTGGCAGTTTTTTTCTTTCAGGGTTTTATATATGTCTCCCCATTGCCTTCTTGCCTGCATGGTTTCTGTTGAGAAATCTGAGCTTAATCTGATTTGCTTGCCTTTGTATGTTATATTTCTCTTTTCTCTAGCTGCTTTCAAGATGTTGTCTTTATCTTTGATTTTGGAGAGCTTGATTCTTATATGTCTTGGTGATTGTCTTTTAGGGTCTATCCATCCTGGGGTTCGTTGAGCTTCTTGAATGCTTATCTTTTCACTTTTCAGGATGATAGGAAAATTTTCTTCCAGAAGCTCTTCAACTATCTCCTCTATGGTCTTGTGTGATTGTTCCTGTTCTGGAATGCCAATAATTCTTATGTTATTCCTCTTCATGTTATCCAACATGAATCTTAGGCCTTCTTCGGATTTTTATCCTTTTTTGTATTTGTTCTTCTGTCTTAGTAGTGTTGAGAAATTTATCTTCTAGCTCACTAGTTCTAGCTTCTATCTCTTCAATTCTATTCCTTTGCCCTTTCAGTGTATTGTCTACTTCTGATATTCTATTATTAATCGTTTGGACCTCTTTCTGTAGGTTTTGAATTGTTTCCAATGCTCTATCTATCTTATTAATTGTTCCTGTAGCATTTTCCTGACTTCTTCATTATTTTTCTCAACTGCACTGTATAGTGTTTTGATACCTTTTATAATCATTTTTAGGAATTCCTTCTCCGGCATTTCCAAAGCCTGCCCACCTTCCAGCTCATTTGCCTCATTCGCTTTATCTCGTTTCTGGACATGTGCAGATATGGTCATCTGCTTCTGTTTTTTGGGTATCTTCATGGGTTATCTGTGGCCTAATACTTAGATGAGTGTGTATTTTGGTATTTTTTATGCTTTCTGAATGCCTCCAGGTAGATGTGATAAGGAAATGGGCTTCTCTTTTCACTCTTCTTCCTGAGAAGTTTCAAGATACCACTGTTGGTCGTTTTGACGTAACTTAGGATTTAATTTTCTGCATATTTCCTTTTTTGTCTGCTTGTCCCGCTCCACAATCCCCGTTCAGGACTTTTTTCTAATTGTAAACAGTTCAGGGCCGCTGTGGCCGTTTGGTTTTAATTGGAAACTGTCTCTTTAAATTTCATGGAGATCTGTGTGCATGCGTAGTAGAACCCTCCGAGGGTGGGACTGGGGTGTCCACTAGCTCAGGCACCCCTATAGTCACCAGAATGGAGGTGTGCAGACAGCAAGGGACCAATGAACAGCTATCAAAAAAGAAGAACATCCACACCTTTATCTCAGCGGTTTTGCCAGGCGTCTGTGGCCGCTCCGATCTTTCCCCCACGTAGTCTCATCCAAGATGGCGGCTCCTGGCGCAGCCGAGCAGCCCGGATTTCTTGCTTCTGCCACAAATGCAATAGATTTCTTGCTTCTGCCACAAATTCCCCCAGCTGTGAGCCTTCCAATCTTCTAAGTATTCCGTTATATGTGGTTCAAAGTTCTGGGACCGTTCCCTGAGCCTGCTTGGTCCTGTATTCTGTGTTGTTGTTGGCGGAGCTCCTTTACTGCACTTCCACCCGATCCGCCATCTTGTTTGTTCTCTTCACTATTAACACTTTGCAGAGTGTTTTCTCTGGGTGTGTATATGTCTATACACAGAGGTACACACACACGCACACAGACTCTCACACACTTGTTTTACTGTACAGATGTTTTCCGGCCTGCTTTCAGTGAGCACATCTTTACAATTTGGTTCCATATCAGCTCATCTAACGTTCCCATTCCCCATCTGTCCCTGAGATCTCCCCTACATTGTGCATGTCAGCGAAGCACTCCTGGGCTGAAACGATCCCACTTTGCTATTGTACGTCACACGCAGGCTGCTCACTAGCTGTACCACTTTCCTCTGTTCAGAGCCTACAGCATTGTCATTGCAACTGTTAAGTGTGTTGATTCAGTTCTGACTCAGCAACTTTGTATAGAATTTCCAAGGTGCTGCTGGTGTGTTTGAACCACCAACCTTGCTGTTAGCAGTCCAGTGCATGGAAAATGATAGCAGGCATCCCATGTTGTTGTGAAGTGCCACAGGGTCAGTTCCAATTCATAGCAACCCTGTATAGGGTTTCTAGACACTGGACTACAAACTACAAGGTCAGCAGTTCAAACTCACCAGCTGCTCCTCAGAAACCCTATGCAGGGTCATTATGAGTCAGAACCAACTAAACAGCATTTAACATAGGGTTTCTGAGGATCACCTGGTAGGTTTGAACTGCTGACCTTGTGTCTTGCAGTATGTTTATCCTACAGCATCACACCAGGACTCCAAACATCATGTTGTTGCTGTTGTTGAGGGCCATCGAGTTAGTTCTGACATAGCGTCCCTATGTTGGGACAGTCCTGTGGGGACCCTGCATCTGAGCACTGCCCTTCCTCCCGGTGGTGCCCAAGTTTCCTCTCTGATAGCGATCAGGGCCTGGGGACACACACTGGACACCAGCTCTTTCTCATTGTGTCTTGGTTTCCTAGGGCTGCCCTAACAGAATCCCGCAGGCAGTTGACAGTTAAGAAATTTCTTTTTCTCACAGCTATGAAGGCTAAAAGCCAAAACCAAGGTCCTTCCTTATTTGTAGCTGTGGCGCTGTAGATTAATGTGCTGGACTGCAAGGTCACTTTGAGCCACAAGGTCGGTGGTTCAAGCTCACCAGCCGCTCCCTGGAAGCCCTATACAGGTGGCTATAGGTTGGAATCGACTGGGTGGCACATAACAACAACAACATACACAACACAAACGTTGGCCGTTCCAACCATGTTTGCCCGTACGCTGCAAGCACACCAAGCACATCCATTACCAACACCCATTTCTAAATCAATCTTTCCCTCTCTTCCTCCTTTCTGTTTTTTCCCTTCCTTCTCTTTATCCACAATAACATTTCCAATGGATTGTCCTCAGGCAAAAATAAATATTCATTGTTCCCCTTCCAGTTCAGGAAGAGAAACCAAAAACAAAGCAACGAAAGGGATTCATTTCCTATTTCTCTTTTGTTTCCCTTTCCTTTCCTTTTTAACTACCTTTGCTGTCGTCCAATCCCTTAATGATGTGCAGCCTTGGTAACCCCACGTAGGGTCGCCATGTGTCAGAATTGACTCGATGGCAGTAGGTTTGGTTTGACTGGTTTGGAAAGTGGTTTTACAATCCCTGGATGGATTGCAGATCACACAGCGCGCAAACCGCTGCTCTTGGTAGTCTGGTGAAGTCATAATGCTGAGGGTTAGTCCCTACCTGAGGCGTTCTCCTAAACTCTGCCTTCCTCTGTAGGCCGAGAAGAACATTCTCTTGGAAGAAAAGATCCAAGTTCTCCAGCAGCAGAATGAAGATCTCAGAGCTCGCATCGACCAGAACACCGTGGTCACGAGGTAGGTAAAGAACATGCCACCCACACAGGTGTTTTCCAGTCACTGTGTTTGTCCCAAAGTCCAGCTGGCCCCCTGCTCTGAGCTGTGAGGCTTGTACACACTGGGAATGTCCCATGTGAAAGGAAAGCCATCATCTCATAATCTACTACCAGGCTCTTCAAGCAGAAATTCAAACCTGTTACCATTGAGTTGGCTTAGCTCAGAGTCCGTTGGGTCCTACCTAATGAGAGAAATGAGGGAACGCAGGAAACATGCACAACAGGGCCTGCCCACGTGCTGTCAGGTGATGGGATTTGTTTCTGGAGAAGACCAGGCCCTGGAGGTTTGGGAGAAGAATGTCCGCTGAAGCGTAGCCAGGCCAAACCAAGCTTCCCTGGATCATGCATGCTGGGGCCTCGCAGTTCCTCTGCATCTTCTCACCTGCGTCTCCAGTCAGGCCTGTTTCTGGGGATCCACGAAAGATGTGTCGATAATGCTGGGCATCAAGACCCTTCAGGAATAAACGATCCCATCGTGCTTGTGTTTGTCCATAGAGGAAAGACCCTCTGGGACAAGACTGTGATCTCCGGCACCTGCCAGACCTTGGAGCTCGAGAGGAATGCTTCCCTTAGGGTCTTGGGTTTAGGTCAGAATCAAGAAGAGAAGAAATACTGTGAGAAAAGACAGATTTTAAAACTCACCACGATTCCAGACTCCTGTCCAGACTTGGCAGCAGTCTTCTCACACACACCAGTGCCCCTGAATTTGAAACTACTCATATGCTCCCAGGAGTGTTGTTGCTGTTGTTAAGTGTCATCAAGTTTGTTCCAATGCATAGCGACCCTATATAAGGTTTTACGATCCTTATAGGAGCAGCTGGTGAGCTTGAACCACCGACCTTGCGGTTCAAACTGACTTTGCAGTCCAGTGTATTACCCCAAGCGCCACACCAGGACTCCCTGGGAGTACATGAAGGCTTAAAACTCTAGGTTAGCAGCCAAGTGTTTCATTACCCACTGTGCCGCCAGCACTGGGAAAGGCTTCAAACCAGAGGACACAAAAAACATCCGTCCCTTTCCCACTCTGCTCCCATAAAGATTTACAGCCTCGGAAACCCTGTACTGGGTCGTTATGAGTTGGAACCAACTCCACAGCACATAACCACCACCACCATATGTATATATGTTGTTGTTGTTGTTGTTAAATGCTGTTGAGTCAATTCCGACCAATACCGACCCTGTATAGGATTTCCAAGGAGCAGCTGGTAAGCTTGAACCACCTACCTTGCAGTTCAAACAACTTTGCAGTCTGACGTATTAGCCCACAGCACCATAGGATACACACTCTCTGTGTTTGTGTGTGTGTGTGTGTGTGTATATATATATATGTGTATATATATATATATATATATATATATATATATAAACATTGACTGTTTGAACCACGTTAACTTGTATAATCCGTACATTTGTTTCTCAACAAACATTAACTGAGAATTTCCTGGGAGCCAGGCTGCAGGCTGAACATTGGGAATTCAAGAGGAAAAGACTTGGCTCCTACCCTCTAAGCAGGCAGATGGCCAACCAGTCTTTACAGGGGAAGGCAGAGACTGGCGTCCTTGAGGTATCCTTAGTTAGGTCCAAGAGACCTGGTGAAGTGGTCTTCTGTTTCAACCCTTCCATTATTGCTGGGGGCTGTCCCATGCACGGCCCCCTCCCTACACCTCACCAGTTCTCCAGGTCTCGTCAGCAAAGTTCTGTCCGCTGGAGGACAGTTAGTGGCTCTCCTGCCATGTCCAGAAGGACTGGGCTACTAGGTTTGGGTGGACACGCAGAAATCATGTCTCGTCTTCGATTCTGTTGCTGTGAGTCTGGCTCGCCCCGGTCCCCTGTCTGTTTCCCTTGGCCCAGCACAATCTCAGGTTCATGATTGCTATCTGATAACTTACCTTCTTCCCCTCACAGACAGCTGTCAGAGGAAAACGCGAATCTTCAGGAATATGTGGAGAAAGAAACCCAGGAAAAGAAGAGGCTAAGCCGAACCAATGAAGAGCTGCTTTGGAAACTCCAAACTGGGGACCCAACCAGCCCCGTCAAACTGTCCCCTACGTCCCCCATTTCCCGCTGCTCCTCCTCCGGCCCTCCGTCTCCGGCTAGAGTCAGCACCACACCAAGATGACGCTGCCTTGCAGCTTACAGTGCCTGGCTGGCCTCTCCACTTACTGAGTGCTTCCATCCTGAGAGAGAATTAGCCAGAGCATCCCACAGCCCGGAGCTGGCCCTGCACGCATGCTCAGTAGCAGCATAACTGTCCTAGCAGAGCCCTCTCCTGATTCCCAGGTACAATTGTCTTGGTGTTGGCACACACGTAGGCAGGTGTAAGTTGTTTAGTCTGATGTGCAACATGCGACCAAAAGAAAGATAACTTGGAAATGACTTGTTCACTGCAGAATTTCAGGTTAGTTACAGATAGCTCCGTTTTGAATCTACCTGGGCTAATCCTCACGCCCTGCGCCAAGACGTGCGTATATTTAGATACACTTGTATATACGTGCAGCCGTTCTGAATTGCTGTTTTTATAACCAGAAGTGCTGACGTATTTTAGGGACGGTCAGCAGTTTTCTAACTTGTGCCTCAGAATCACTGGGAAATAAAAATTCATTTCTATCTGGCTTCCCAGGAATATTTCTACCCAAAATAGAAAATTTAAAAAAAAAAAAAAAGATACAGAGAAGAAGCGCCTTGCAACCCACCACCACGTGGGCCTCGGTATAAACACAAACACCAGCAATTTGTGAAATGGTAACTGCCTTCAGAACAGCCGGCTTCTTAGTCGACACCATGTAAGGTCACTCTTAGGCCATCTGCAAGTTTTAATTATGAATGCGCCTGTCATGAGAGGGAATCCTGGCTTTGAGAGGTGACTCATCTCAAGACACAGGTTTTGCTTTTCTCCTCTTGGAATCAGTCATTAAATCTCCCCGGGAAACGTGTATGATCGTGACCCTCTAGGGCCAGGGTGGGAACGAGCTTAACAATGACCAAGACGTCGGCACCCCATCCTTGTGAAGATCCGACTGGATAGGATCCATATTTGGACACAGAGCTGAGGAGGAGAAGGGCTTCCAGCAGTCTGCTGGATGCGCTCTGATGCCATGTTGGAAATGGTCAACCCACTGAGATTGGACTTTCAGTCAACCCCCCATTTCATAGGCAGCCCCCAGTCAGTTTGATTCTCTAACTCAACCCATCACTGCTCATGGAAATGACTCAGGGGTTTCAGCGGGTCTTCTAGAAGACCAACCCTTCCATGCTGGGGGACCAGGCTCCAAGCTCTGGAATCATCATCAGATGGGGACTGAGCCAAGTCCCTCCCCACGGTGGTCCCAAGGAGGTTCTCCCACATAGGAAAGCCCTGTGAAGCAGCCAGCCAGTGTTCCCGGCTCCTGAGCTGGTGCTTGTCTTTGCATCGGTAGCGTTAGAATGTGCAAATTGTTCACGTAGTGCTGTGGAAGATTAGGAGCATGGAACCTAAAAGAAAGACGTAGTTGTACCCACTGATACAGTGATGATGCCTGTGTATGACAAAGACCCTGCGCTTTTCTTCCTAAAGCCCTGAAAAAACATGTTCTAGCACACACACCTGTCTTTGAGTTTGCTCGAGGCAAGAAGACTTAGGCAGGAATCCTACATGGCCAAAGCCAGGAAGCAAGGAAGAAATGCTCTCCTGGAAGGGGTTGGCACATGCAGGGCCTGCCTGGTGGCGTTGGGCTTCAGAGTTGGGCTGGCAGGTCTCAGGAACACCCTACTTCCAGCCAAACCTCCAAGGGTCTTTGAGTCATCTAGGCAGTCAATACGCAGTCTTGTTCTTCCTTTGGTGGCGCGGTCTGCATGATGCTGTGATCTTGAGGTGGGCATCCCAGTAGAGTAGAGCACACCTCGTCGTCTAGCCCTAGCGACATAGGTATTGATGTATCCCCTGAGCGGGCATCGCCTGCAGACGAACACCTAGTCACCGCTCAGCTCTCAGAATTAGGACCGGCTTCCAGCAACTCGCCTGCGGAGTGCAGTCACACAGCAATACAGACTTTGGTGTTGGGTTAGGTTAGGACTTGGTGTCCCGTGCAGTGAATGTCGTAGCGGTGTCAGCACTAAGGATCCCCTCTCCCTAACCAGCCTCAACCTTGGAACTTGAGTGAATTCCCACATTCCCCTGGCTTCATTGTTCTGTCATCACACACTGTCTTTACGGATGTTTCCTCAACATTCCCACCTCTACATCTTTAAGATTGGGACTCTCTCAACACGGAAGTCTTCTACTCGTCTGCCTCCATCACCCACCCCCTTCTTGTCACTCGGGAGACATGTCTGTGCCCCACCCTCACCCCCACCCCCTCACCCACCATGTGCTGGGGCTCGGCGCTGGAGGACAACAAGCAGTGTTATTCTCTGAAGGATGTCACACGCTCCCCCTCCCCGAACACTTCTTGTGTTGCATATTCGTGTTTAATTCTAAACCATATTAAAATGAACTTGAGGGAATGTTTCTGGTATCTGTTTTCTGTAACTGAAGATCTCTGCTCCTCACTCAGAGACACGTCTTTACATACACATCCCATCCCAAACTTGGGCACACCCTGTGACTCTGCTTTATAAGGTGGTCTAAAAGGTTGGGGGTAGAGCAGCATCCATTGAAAATTGTAGTGTAGTGGTTACGAATCGGGCCGCGAGCCACAAGGTCAGCAGTTCGAAACTACCAGCCGCTCCGTGGGAGAAAGATGAGGCTTTCTGCTCCCGTAAAGATTTACAGCCTTGGAAACCCTGTACAGGGTCGCTATGAGTCGGAACCAACTCCACGGCACATAACAACAATAAAAGGTTGGGGGTAGAGTAGCATCCTTTGAAAATTGAGCACAAGATTGGGTTCCATTCCACCACCCTCTCTTGCTCTTTCAGACCAAGATGGGTACTCAGTTTTATCCCCAAAAGTACTCGATTAGCCCGAAATTCAGTCCCTGGGCTGGGAGCCTCCCAGAAGGGGAGAGGAACTGGCCATGGAAATAGTTGGCCCTTACCGTGAGCTTTCTCAAGGCACAGGACTCTGTGACCCATGGTTCTCCTTATGACACTCTCCCCCAAGTGCAGATGGGGGCTTTTGTTTCCACACGAGAGCACAGGTCCCCCGCAACAGGTGGTCTGCCCAGCATGACCTGGAACATTGCATAGGTGCCAAGGGGAGATGCTCACTCCCTGTGGTGGTTTGACAGGGTGTAAAAGGTTGGCAGGATTCCTGCGTGTGGCTCTGTAGGATCCATACTGGACTGTGAATCACAAGGTCAGCAGTTCAAACCCACCAGCCACTCCTCGGAAGCCCTGTACAGGATCCTTGTGAGTTGGAACCAACTCGACGGCACTTCACAACAAAACGGGGTTGTCTAGGAGCCCTGGTGGCATGGTGGTTAAGCATTCAGATGCTAATGAAAGGTGGACAGTTCAAACCCACCAGCAGATCCATGGCAGAAAGCATTATCGATCACTTCGGTAAAGGTTTACAGCCTTGAAAACCCCATGGGGCAGCTCTACTCTGTCTTGCTATGAGTTGGAATCAACTTGATGGCTGTAGGTTTAGGGTTTGTGCAGGCAGGGGCCGGAAGTGACTTCAGGGAGACTTAAGCAGGACTGTGCTCATGAAAAAGAGCTCAGAAGAGACCTCCAGCACTTCTGGACTACAGTAAGAACACTTCCAGGTCCCCTCTGGACCACCCATACTGTCCAGACGATTGACTTTGGCTGTTGAATTAAGGAGCCCTGGTATCTCCTTAATGATTAAGCACTCAGCTAACTGAAAAGTTGGTAGTTCAAACCCACCCAACAACTTCCCACAAAGACCACACCTTAGGTGACCCTATGAAGCAGTTCCAGTCTATCACACAGGGTCACTATGAGTTGGAGTTAACCCCACAGCACCTAACAACACAACCTGTTGTGTTAATGAGTTATTTATGAGACATGATGTCTAAGACAAGACACCCTGGTGGCACAGTGGGTCAAGCTTTGAGATGCTTGGTTGGCAGTTGGGAACCAGTAGCCGTTCTGTGGGAGGATAAGATTATGAGCTTCTTTAGAGATTGACCGTCTAGGAAACCCTCGGAAGCAGTTCTACTCAGGCCTACCAGGATCGCTATGGGTCGGAACGGACTCAATGGCACTAGAATGGGTTATGCCCAAACCTATTGGTTACTTTTTGGGTGTCTGGTGTTCCCACCACTTTTTGTTTTGTTTTCATTGTGACAAAAACATACAACAAAACACTTGCTAGTTCTAACTGTAGGTCTTAGATGTGTAGGATTCCATGACATTGTGTCCTGTTCGGCCATCTCCTTTTCCACATGTTTCCACCATTCTTAACAGAAGCTCAGTGGCCCCTAAACAAAAGTCCTGATTTGAGTTCCCATCCCCATCCCTGGTCCTAAGCCTGTGACATAAATGAGGCCAAGGTACCTCTACTTGGTAAGTGTCAGTTGTGACTCATAATGACCTTGTATAGGGTTTCCGAGGTTGTAGATCTTCACAGGAGCAGAAAACCGTATTTTTTCCTACAGAGTGTATGGTGGACTCAAACTGACTACCTGATGGTTCCAGTCCGGTGCTTATTCTACAGAGCTTCTGTGTTCCCCTGGATCCTAAGGGGCTGTTACTTATAGGAGAAGAGATGGGACCACGCCTGTCTCCCATCCACCTAGAATCTGGGTCTCTTCCTACTGCTCCCCACAGCCAGTGGACAGAAGAGAGCTTTGAAATGGACTCATTCAGCACATTGGAAACACACTGAAGGGCGTTCTACAGCTATGACCTTAGTCCTAACAAATCCATTCCACGCACAGTCTGGACTTGCTCCCAGAGAGCCTTCTTGGCAAACACCAAGGGGAGGAACTGCAGCTTGACAGTTTGTGTCAAATGTCTAATAAATTCACCACCAAAGACTGGTAACTTGTGCAGAAAGGCAAAACCCAGTTAACCACTGACTTCAGAGATGACTCTGACTCATAGCGCCCCCGTGTGTGTCAGAGTAGAACTGTGCCCCACAGGGTTCTCAGTGGATGAGTTTTCATAAGTAGATTCTACTCATGGTGCCCTGTGTGTGTCAGAGTAGAACTGTGCCCACAGGGTTCTCAGTGG